GGGAATTAAACCTAAAAACTTTTGGTGTACAGGATGAGTCTTCAACCAACTCATTCACCTGGTACAGAGCTGTTTTGTCAGTTTTAGCAGAAACCAGGAATTCCCACAATTAATTAAAGAAATAAAAAAGACAAACAAACAAAAAAATGAAACAAGTTTGGATACCCCAGCCATTCCTAGATCCTGTTGTAATTTTGTAATTCATGCCTGGTTTAGTAGTGCCTGCTAAGCATGGCTCATTTAGGAAGACTTGGATTAGAAATAGAAATTATTTTTCTTTAGAAATACAATATATATGTTTTCTGAACCGAGGACAAAGCTGAGCTGAAGGCAAACTGCCTGGATTCTGATCCAGGTTTTAGCATGTATCTTTAGTGATAGGAATATAGTGTTTGGCGCACAATATTACTTTGCATATAAAAATCCTGAATTGAGACTGATAACTGTTTTACTATTCACTAGTCATTTTCTTTTTCTAGACTTGATGGGATTACCACCTAAATGTAGTTGCAAGATTAAAACCTATGACATTAATTCAACATACAAAGTGCACACTGCAGGATGTTAACAGGCAAGAGGCAAAGGGTTCTGAGGTTAAATCCCTCACAAATGCAGAGTGATGCACAATTCTGCAGGCTGCTTTACTTCAGGATTTCTCAAAGCTTTTAATATATTCATGTGCGTTGTCAATCTCCAAGTGCATTAGAGCATGCAGTGTTTCTCCAAACTGCTTAACCAGGGAATTCTTTTACTGGGGAAGTAGTGCTACATCCAGTGCATTTTAAGTGATCACTGCGATATCTTCTTAGGACTCTTAACATCACCAGTAACCATGCTGGAACAATCCCAGTGAAGTTTTGGGGATATGGCTCTATAGGGGACTGTTAATTCCGTACATTTTTTTTTTTTCTTGAACTGTATCCCTATATTTGGGTACATTTCCTGTGTGGATATAGAGTGCAGTATATGTTCTTAAGGACCTATTAACCCTCTTTCCAGCTTCGTTATTATTGCTTATCCCTGGACTCATCCATTAGGTGAGCACCACCCCCCCCCCCCCACACACACACACACCTACACAGGTTTTTCCCCTTACTCTGTTTTCAGCAACAAACAGTGCCATGCATCTCCCAGGCAATTGTATATTTTGTTGTTCAGGAAGTTATAGCCACTAAATTTCAAGTCAAAGCAGGATTTTGATTCATGGTTTACATTCATAGTTTAATCCTAAAACCCGTTTACCTTTTTAATTTTATTAATTCCTCCATGACATTTTGGAGATCTTGCTTCCCACATACATTTTGTTTTGTGCTAAGCGGCATCTTATATTAGGCATTGTTAACAATATACATCTACTTGGTGCAGGTGGAAGTGGGAATAGAACTGGGTACAGGAGGATCATGGTGGGGCGGGGGTGAGCTTTTGAAACTATCCTTGCAGACATCCCGAGCAGCATGTGTGGTTGTCCAGTTTCCCATGGCTCATGAGGTACAGAGTATAATGAATGAGACTGCTCTAGATTTTGACAGGCTCGCTCAGGCCAGATTTACACTAGAAGGACTCAGTTCTCGCCAACAGTTTTATAATGTCATTTTATAAGAAAAAAAAAATAATTGATTTGAGTAAGAATCAATGTTTTAATACTTCTGAAAAATGGTCTAAAATCTAATATCAGGAACTAATTGTAATTGCATACTATGGCAGTCTGGGAACTCTTATTTAATTACAAATTCAACATTGGTACTTTCTGGATGAAGACTGATCTAGGCCGAGGGCAAATTATTGACTTTTCTCTTTTTTTGTATTTTCTTTCTTTTATGAATATATGGAATGCTTCATGAATTTGCACACTAAAAATTCAAAACAGTGCCAAAAATAAGCTGTCTGTGAGAGAATATCTGAACTCAAGCATACACTGTAAGCTGTCTGAAGCATGTTCTAAAATATGAAAATTATGTCAGCAATTGGAATCTTCAAAATGAGAGGTTAGTAGTATTTTTTCTGAAAGATGAAGGAGCTGGTTTTTCAAACTTATACAAAGTGAGGATAAGTTGTATGTTTCTAAACAAATGCTTGGCAAGAATACAATATCACATATGCTTGCTCATTTGGTCAAAGTTAAGAACCTCCTATGCATTGGGTGTTCTCCTGGCTAAATATTAAGAATTCAGTTTGAACAAATTTCATCTGAACTATCTATACCAATAAAAGGGTAATATGCTAATTAGACCAGACAACTTCTGGAAGACCTTCCTAACAAATCTGGCCCTTGGTGAAGCCGCCCTCCTGTGGGCCCAGGCACCAATGCCTGCCTGTGGCTGCAGCCTTGGAGAGGGAGAAGCTGCCCACCCCTTTGTCCCAGGCGCCTGCAGCCAGCCAGAGGGAGGGAATCCTGGGTCCCAAGTGTGGGCGGAGGCAGACACAATTAGGGGCAATCAGGCCAGCAGGGGAGCAATTAGGGATGTTCAGGCAGGCAGGTAGAGATGGTTAGGGCAATCAGGCAGGCAGATAAGTGAGCAGTTAGGAGCCAGTGGTCCTGGATTGTGAGAGGCATGTCCAACTGCCAGTTTTGGGATCAGGCCTAAACCGATAGTGGAACATCCCCCATGCAGTCCTGGATTGGAGAGGGTGCAGGCTGGGCTGAGGAACTGAATTTCATGCACCGGGCCTCTAGTTTATAATATCCCCTTTATTCCATTTCTTATCTAGTATTTTTTTTTGCCCCGTGTATGTGTGTGTGTGTGTGTGTGTGTGTGTGTGTGTGTGTGTGTGTTTCTTCTTATTTTATTATCTATCTAGTGGGCATCTCCTTTTCATAAGATTTTTGGCAGACACATGCTAAGTTTCCTTACCTGTTTCTGAAATTGGATTTCTGAAGGATGAAGGGTCTGGTCTTCCTGATCTTTGTTTTAAGATAGTCCTGTTAAAAAGTCTACTTCCTTCCCATTCCATTGAGACAATGAACATAATGCCCAAGGAAATGGATGCTTTAGTATTCTGACCAAAGTCCTATCCTTTACATACCTCAGGTTTATATGGTGAAACCTGAGGGCCCCTCTTTGAAGCTATACCCTGTGTCCTGTGACTCTACAGTCTTTCTCACAAAAGAGGTGGAATCTATTCCCTACACCTAGACTTCAAATTGCTTTGACCAACAGAATTCAGTAGAAGTGATGGTGTGCCAGTTCTCATCACTGAACAGTTGGTCAACCCCAGGCATGTGAACAAGTCCAGCTGAGATCAGAAGGGTCCTTTCCACATCAGCTGAACCCTATATCCCATGGGCTGAAGAAATGCTTTTTATTGAGGTTTTATGGCTGTCATGCAGCATCACTGTGGCAATAGAAAACTATTACTAGTGGCAGTGGACATAATGTGATTGGGATTGGCTCCTAGCCTCCACCACCAAGCTCATTCTTGTCACTTAATTGACCACACAGAAACACAAGCTGGTAATGCATGCCAATGAAGTGGCTGGACTCTGCTTATAGGGCTAGGCAGTGTGGTGTCATATAGTATTTTCATTAAATTCTCAATTAATGAATTAAGAAGTATCTCTCAAAAACTTCGTCTACAAGAGTTGAATGGTGGTGGTAGTGGCCGGGGAGATATCCAAAAGCAAACTACATTCTTTAAATTTAAAAAAATGTGATCTCAATGATATCAAAAAGTAACAAGCTGAAGACTTAGCATAAAAACCAAATGTTTCCATTTGTTCTCATTTCCATTTTTAAACACTTACTCAAAAGGTTGCTGGAAACTAACAATTATTTCCTTAGGAACACTTGATGTGAATATTACTTTGGGTTAGACAGGGTATTTAAAATGTATGTTCATTAGAGAGTACCAATTTTCTTTATTTTAACAAATTATATGTTTTGGAATTTTTCTACTTCACAAGTAGCTTTTAACTTTAGAATCAAATAACATGTTAGTTGCTTGACACCACTTCCCACAGGATGGCTTCAGAAATGGATTAAACTTACTGCCAGAGTAGTTAAAATCCAGCGCACATATAAAAAACACATTATTTAAGAGCATGAGGCTAAAAGTGGATTGAAAAGGTAATCACTCAAGTTATTAAAAGAAAGAAAGCTCAATAGGCTTAGGTTTTCAATATCCAACATTTTCCCCCATATGACTAACGCCTTCTATCTGTAAAGGAAACTGAGAATACTCTCTGACAAAAAGGGAATATGCTAATTGTCATGCCATCACAAAGATGGCAGCATCCACAGCCAATAAAGAGGGGACATACTAATTGACTGCCATGCCTTCACAATATGGCTGCACCCACAGCCATAAAATGGCAGTGTGCATTCCCCTCAGACTTGCTTCATCCAGCTGGAGTCCCCCAGTCCCCTCAGCTCCACCAGGGGTGGCAGGAGCTGTGCAGTTCATCCAGCCAGAGTCCCTCAGTCCCCTCTGCCTCACCTCATCCATCTGGAGTCCCCCAGTCTCCTCAGTCCCACAGGGGAAGGCAGTTGAGTGTGATCAGGCTGGCAGGGGAGGATAATTGGGAATGATCATGCTGGCAGGGAGCAGTTGGGCATCAATCAGGCCAGTAAGGAAGCAGTTAGGGGGCTATCAGGCTGGCAGGCAGAGAGGTTAGGGGCAATCAGGTAGGCAGGCAGGTGAGTGGTTAGGAGCCAGCAGTCCCAGATTGTGAGAAGGATGTCTTGACTGCCAGTATAGGCCCAATCCTACAGGGGTCCCAGAGAGGTCATCCCCCAAGGACATCCGCTGAGGGGTCCCAGATTGGAGAGGGTGCAGGCTGGGCTGAAGGACACCCCTCCACCCACCACCCACCTGAATTTTGTGCACTGAGCCTCTAGAGAGAAGAGAGGAACACAGAGCAAGAGAATGTAATAATGTGTATAAGAGAAACTGCAGGAAAATATGTGGATTTATCAGGAGATTAATCTTATTTTATTTTAATAAATATGCATTCATACTTCAGATTCTCTCAGTAAACACTTAAGAAGAATATCAAAGTCATCTTGTGTTAAAATTACTTTTATTTGGGATGAAAAATACATGTAACCACATTAGATGACAGTCTATGGTTAGTACTTTACCACATATTTCCAAAGAACTACATACTTATTTCCCCTTGTATTTTACTGCATTATATTTCTTTTTATATAATATTTCTTACAAGGTTACAATGTAGTGTTTTATGTAGTTTTTCCTTAATAGCAGATAGAAGACGTGTTACACACAATTACAGGCAGGGAAAAACTAATACATAACTTTTTCAAAGAACAAAGAAGACACCAAATCTACACTTGTAGTTCAGAGTTCAGGGATTTTTTTTTTTCTTTCTTTCTTTAAATAGGTGCTTTTCTTGGGTATAATGTGGCTGATAAAAGCTTTAAGTTTTGCAAACTGTAGCAGGGTAAAGCTGTTTCTGACAAGATGGATAAAGACGGGTCTGAGGTAGAAAGGTGGTCATGGCTTTCCTCTTATATAAAACAATCTTCTTCTCAAAATATCTATGCTGCAAATAGACACCCTTGCCCCCCAACCCACCCGGCCTATTCACAAAGAATAGAATTTCTAACTTTAAGCCTCCTTCTGGAGTTCAACTGTCCTGCTGTTTTAAAAGCACATGTGCTTGAATCAAAACATTTTAACTTAAAAAAAAATCTCTACATTTGGTAATTATATACCATGTTTAAACTGAGTGAATTAAATGCTAAATCAGAAGCTAAACCAAATGCCTAATTGAAGTTAGGCAGGTTACCAACATCCAAACTTTCAATTTCATTCTTCTGCCGAAGGAGTGGCATAAACATTCTTCCCAAATGTATGAATTACATAAAGGACAATAAAAATCTGTCTATTCACCCAAAAGGGCAAATGAGATGTGCACTAAATTTGTGTCTGCTTTAAAAAAGAAAAGAACTAGAAGTTCCAAGAATTATAAGGGCTTAAATATACATAAACAACAATAAAAATTTTCTTTAAAGGGAACCAAAGATGATAATGTGTCTGGCATTACAATTGGGTAAAGGCCTGCTGTGTATTTAATGATGAAAATCAAGATATGGGAACTAGAAAAGGTTGTACTAAGTGTTGTTTCTGTGCCCAAAATAAAAATATGCCTAAATAGGCAACCTTTGGTAAAATGATCTGTGAGATTATTATAATCCTGCTTTAAGTCTCCTCTATCATATAAACTCAGAGGGATGAAATAAATAAAGAAATCAAGAGCTACTTATATAGAGCAGGGAAATAAAATGCAGGTAAAACACCAACGAACATGCCAGTTAGAGCCACTTTTTTTGTGTGTGTGTGTGTGGTTTCCAAGCGATTGCTAAGAAAATTTAAGTGTATCATGTCAAATAAAGTTAAAAAGTATGCACAGAGCTGTAGCCTCTCCATGCACCTGTAATATAATTGACTGAACTATATGAATCTATTAATTGGCCAAATCATGAAAGCAAATATAGGAAATGTACTTGGTCATGTGGCTGATGAGTTTATAAATAACCACCAAGGTAAAAGAGTTGAAGAAATACATAAAGTTATTGACAAGGTTAATATTATAGAAAAGGAATGTAAAACTCTCTCCTAGTTCCTATGCAAGTTTTTGTCACAGTTATTAAAAAGAAGCATCACATTAGAAAGCCCCCATACACTTTCCCAATGCTGTGTACAGTATACAAATCGGTAACAAAATGTATTACCATTCCCCAATACTGCTCTGTTCCTTAATTTACAGTTGCATAGAAAAGGAAGGAGAAAATAATAATACAGGTTTATCATAAGAACAAAATTGTCTTCTCTCTTTGGATAGTCAGTGCTTCACCCCTTCAGTAGAACACAAGGTCGGCGCTCAGCAGCCTTCTCAAGGAGCCATGGAACTTCTGATTAAATGGGGCTTGGAGTGGCATTTGCTGGAAAGTGCAATACTGAAGGTCAGGAAATGTTTGTTGGCTAGATGAGTACTTCACATTGCCTGCGGGAACGGAAAACCGTGCTGTCAGAACAACATTTACATAAACCATGACAGGTAGCAGAAGCCTGTCAACTCTTCAAGAAGATAGAAGTGCTCCTTTTGGAACACGTATCCTATTTTGCTATGTTCAGAGGGGACCCTTTCCTCCCATGTGACTTCTGCTCCCTGAGTGATGCCCTGTCCTCTCCTTCTGAAGTCACCTTGTCTGCCCTTTATCTCTGCAGCCAATACAGAGGAGGTCTGGAAGGCTGCTCTTGGCCAGGCTGGAAAGCAAGTTAAAATTGAGAGAATTTGTCTTTTTCTTGTGGGAGGCACCAAAAGTGAGTACATTAGGCTGGTGCAAGCACCCCAAATATCCCATATTCCTCATACACTGCCTAACTCCTTCCTAGGGCCTCCTGTGCTTTTCAGGTTTTTTTTTTTGTTTTGTTTTGTTTTGTTTTCCCCCTCTTTCTCTCTCATCCCTAAAAACACCCAGCTTTGAATGTCATGCCATCAGACTATACCAGCCACTATGCATCACCTTCTGACCCCAGGGTCAATGTTCCTTTACTTCTTGATGAAGAAATGGTATACTGCCACCAAATTTAAAGCTATTTTTAAATTTCAATGATTTCAACACCTACATAGATGATTCTCCCAACACTCTGGCCTCTTCATTCTTTAAGGTCATTGCCTCTAACTAACTTGGACTCCACTCATCTTAGCCACTGACTCAAAGTTCCAAGTATGGATCATTACCAAATGCCTGCATTTGTTCCAACACTCCAATTTCGGTAACCCCACCTTCTGACAACCACCTCTATACTTCCAGCTAACTTCTGCTAAGGCCCAACTTCATTTATCCTTTGATACTACAATGCATGGATTTTCCCACCTTCTTTCTGTCTCCTACACCTGACACCCTCACTTCTTTTCCAATCAAACGTAGATGCCTGGTTCAATCATTATCATCTTTTAACTCTTCCCTTGAATTGCTGAGCATACTCTCTTGGCCAAACCACAACTGCCACTTCAATTAACTGTAATCCTTGGCCTACTCTGATGCCTGTGCTCATGAACTTGAATGTGGCTGGAGGGCAACACGCAGCCCCACCCTGACCTCACATTATATTCACTAACAGGCACCTTACGTGGCCCTATAATGCTGCCTGGCAATCAGTCATACCCTGTTCCAGGGTCTGTGTGGCTCCTCCTCTAGTCTTTACCTCACACCTATGCTACTCCCTCTCATCCTCATTGAGCTGAAGGGTCCTGGCTTCTGACTCGCTAAGACACCAGAAGCAATCAGAGAGGAATTCTGCTCCCTGGGGTGAGGTTCTTCTGTCTCAGCATCTCTCTCACACACACATCCCCTTATCTGCTTTATGTTCCTGGGTTACTAAAGACAAACTGCCTGTGCTTCTCATTAAGATTCCAGCCTCTCTTGTCAGGAAGACAATCAGAAGATGTTTCAATGTTTCAAAAAGATCAATAAAAAAGTTCATGGAGGAAAAATGTCCTCCAAAGATCTGTGGTCTTATGGCACATTATTACTAAGAGTACCTATATGCTATGGAAGATACTGAAAGATATAAGCCTGTGGCTGCCAACAGACCTCAGCAATTTTTTAAATGAAAAGTCAACTCCTCCCTCTGCCCTCCCTCCAAAAGTAACAAAGTCACCTCTGTGTACTGCTTTGGTCATTGTTTTTAATCAATGTTCGGTGATAGCCACCTTAAGTAGATATCTGAGAGAACAATGGTCAGCCAAATCTATCCAGGCTAACTGTACATAGGATATATGAGGCTGTTAAAAGGATCAAGCACTGCATATTTGGGGCATCTGGGAGAACTGGCTTGGGAGGGGTCCCTTCCTGCCCCCCCACCCCCAGACTGACAAACCATTGAACTGAATCAGCTAACATTTAAATGTCAAGCAAGTTTACTTATTTACATGGGGAATAAAGTAGCACTAAAACTGATAGTGGCTAATCTGTTTACTCTAGGTTGTAGTCAACATGGGAGCCAACCAATCTGAAGACTTACAGGAGCTTCAATATAATTGTGGCCCAACTTTTGGAGTTTCACAGTTTGAACTCTGAGGCTGCTTACAGTGCTTGACTTTGCTCTGTGGACTTGGAATGAACAGCTTCTCTCTGCTGTCTGATTCTGATTGTAAGTCACCTCAAAGCTTTTGTTCTACAAGCCTGAACCTGAACTGGAATGCTGACAAATGCCCAATCATGTTAGCCATTGTTCACATTCTCATAGCCCCACTTGCTGACCACTGAACCAGCTGACTGTTGAAAGTCCAGTTGCCCCCACCAATCAGAAGATGAATAATGTATGTTTGTGCTCTTGTTTCCTTTAGCAACCCGTTTCTGTGATCATCACTTCCTTGCAAATTTGCCTTTAAACACTATGCCCATCTCTATGTCTTTGGTTCATACTGAGGGCTATGTCCCTGATTTGCATATCATATGTGAACAAAGCTCTCTTTTGATTTCCATTGGAATTTTTGTTAACAAAACCATGAACTCTTACCTGTTGCCCGCTCCTGCTGGGGAGATTTGCTAAAAGAGAAAACAAAATAAATAAGTTGAAGGTGGTACTGTTATTTGGCTGGTTCCCCCTCTAAGGCACGGGAAAGTGTGCTTTTTTCTCAGCATGGTAAATGGATGCTAATAAAATAAAAAACTTTTTTATTTTATTTATTTATTTTTTCTTTTTTTAATTAAATTATTATCTGTGTACATATTTTAACATTACCCTCCCCCTTCCATACATACCCTCCCTCTCCAGAGTTTTGTGTCAATTGGTTGTACTTATATGCATGTATACATGTCCTTCGGTTGATCTCTTATCTCCCCCAAATCTTCCTACTCTCCCTGCTATAATTTTACAGTCTGCTTGTTGCTTTACTGTCTTTATATCTGACTTTTGGTTTGTTAGTTTATAATGTTCTTTAATATCCATAAATGAGTGAGGCCATGTGGTATTTCTCTTTCATTGACTGGCTTATTTCACTCAGCATGATGTTCTCTAGTTCTATCCAGGTTGCTGCAAATGATGAGAATTCCTTCTTTTTTATGGCAGCATAGTATTCCATTGTGTAGATGTACCATAGTTTTTTGATCCAATCATCTGCTGACGGGCACCTAGGCTGTTTCCAGATTCTAGCTATTATAGATTGTGCTGCTATGAACATAGGGGTGCATATATCCTTTCTGATTGGTGTTTCTAGTTTCTTGGGATATATTCCTAGGAGTGGGATTACTGGGTCAAATGGGAATTCCATTTGATTTTTTTGCTAGATGCTTTAACAAGGGCTAGTTTCCCTAGTTTTTCATATCCTGGTGCTTGAAGATACACAAATTCCACCAAAATATGTAAAGCATATGCTGGCTGTGTCAAAAAGTGCACACTAAAGCGTTCAGTGAGTTCTTAAGTTTTGGGGGGGAAAAAACAAAACTTTCAAAATTGCCCATTGAAATCTTGCCACGTATTGGATTTATGTCAGAACAGAACAAAATTTGTATATTTTGCTGAATAGTACCAGTTCTGACGAAGAAGTCATTGGGGAAATGAAGGTGCATGGATTTCATTTCTGCCACCCTCTATTCACCCTTGCCCCAAAGGCTAGGAAGATGGTAGCAACGTGCTTACATCAAGGAAAAGGCTGGGCTAACTCCTGAGAATCTTCGAGGAACTTGGGCTACCAGTTGTGCCTTCCAGCTAAGAGCTTTGAAGCAGTTAGAACTTGGCATCTATTGTAATTCACCTTCGGGTCTGATTTGCAGCTCAATTCCTTCCTGGTTACAGAGGGCATCAGACAGTGTAGCTGCTATGATGGGCACTGTGAGGGCAGCCACTAGCAATATTGTTTTTAAAACCTCTGCTTTTTCATCTCTCCTTTTCACTGACATACCTCATAATGAATCTCTCATACTCAACCCTACTGCGGAGAGAGGGCCCCGCCCCTCCAGTGGGGCAACATCTGTGCTATGTCAAATAAGAATTGTCCCTTGCCAAAACCGGTTTGGCTCAATGGATAGAGCCTCAGTCTGAGGACTGAAGGGTCCCAGGTTCTATTCTGGTCAAGGGCATGTACATTGGTTGCGGGCACATCCCCAGTAGGAGGTGTGCAGGAGGCAGTTGGTCGATGTTTCTAGCTCTCTATCCCTCTCCCTTCCTCTCTGAAAAAAAAAAAAAAAAATCAATAAAATATATTTTAAAAAGAAAAAAAGAAAAAAGAATTGTCCCTAGTCATCTAGCCTGCTTCATTCCTTCCCTCTTTCATTTTTCTGTTTTTTTGGGGGAAGATAACTATGACTATACAGCAAGTGCTAGGAGCTCTGTGAGAATAAAAGAGCAAAGGAGGACAACCTTCTTATGACGCCTTCATGGAGAGAGTGTACCCCAGTAGTAGTAGGGGGCAGAATCAGGCTAAGGACAGCCTAGTCCTAAGGGGCATGTAAGTTAAAACAGAAAGAAAGTGAGTGAAATTCCTCACACACGTGATCTACACTGAAGGGAAAGCTTAGCTGCATTAGTATTAAGTACCACATGGGAGAGTTACGCTTCTAAGTAACAAATAACCAAACCCAAACAGAAATCAAATCCATTTTGCTCCAAACCAACATTTAAAACTCCATAGCTTTTTATCAAATAAAAGGCTATGTGTACCCCCCTGAACAAGTCATAACAAATATATTTTTAAGAAATCAGGAAATCATTGCATTTTTGCAGGTTTTGTGTTTTTTATAAATGTCACTCAAGCTTAATAAATGTAGGCAATTTGCAATGCAAATATGCCTATAGATATAAATAAATTTAGAAGCATTTGTTGCTTTTAAAGCAAAAAATACTCAATTGACTATTAGTATCCCATATATTTCAATAAAATAAATGAGAAAACTAACAAAACACTTTACATTAAAAAACAGTTACATCAGTCAGTGGAAATTTTAGTGTGTATGTTGGTTAATAAACAACACAATTAAATTCCCTTCATTATCTCCTTGCCTCTTTTCTCTGAAACTTAATGTAAATAATTAAAAGAAGACTTTAAAGGGCTCTAAGACAGAGGAATTCTAAAGTGTTACATGCGACAATATATAGATACAGTGAAATTAAAAAAAAAAGTCCTGTTTAAGTAGGCAATTCATGCAATTAGGGTTTATGCATACAGTTTCATTTTAATTCCAAGATTGCCAGGAATAAAAATTAACTTGTGACCATGCTAATTTTTAATCTACGAAGGATCAAAAGTCAAGATTAACAAGCAGATCAATTCACTGTATGCTAGTGACAAGTAATTTTAAAGTTCTCATTAGTTACAGGGGCTCGTGAGATTGGCTTGGCACTGGGAAGGTGCCAAGCTGATTTGCTTAGAAAAAATCTCCAAAGGTGGTCAATAAGCTTCGGGAATTTGCAGGCTTATTAAAATATTTGCTAGCTTAGCAACTTAAAAGGGACAACAAAGCAAATGAATCCTATGGAACCTTCCGAGTACTATATGGGGAAACTTTAACAACTTAATCTTCCCAGTGGGAAAATGAAGTCATTCATCATGACATTTAAGTAAAAACTTATAATTGGATTTGATTACATAATTTTTAAAAATTAGTTATTAATTTATTTAGATTTAAGCTGACCTAAAAAGTAATTTCATTTGTAAATTTAATTTTGAAATTCTGTCTTAGGAAGATTATATTAGTCACTAAGTAACATATCTCAGAACCCAATTCTCCAGAAAATTCAACCTTGAAGTATAATTAATACAAAAAAATAAATCGGTTCATCTTTTATGGCTGTTACAAAGCCTAGAGAAAAGCAACGACCTGATAGTCCATGAACTTAATGCCTCTGTAAATATCTTCAGTACACACAAGCTTTTTTAGGGGCTGAGTGTGGGGACTGTCAGAGTAAATGCGATTCAGCAAACTTCAAGAAGTAGAACTACAAATAATAACCTGGAAAATGACGCAGTCCCAAATATAAAAATATTTATGTGCTGTAGAAACTGTAATATGTCCCTTAGGCAGATAATCCTACAAATTCAGAAATGACAGCTTTTCAAATAGCTGTTTGCACTTCCTGCTAATGATCTATTTTGTAAACTGCAGAGTGGCATAAATTGAAGAATACTTTGTAAATGAAGTCAGTATATCTTATTTATCTATACTCCTGATAATGTTTTTTCCCTCATTTAGGATAAGTATTTTCTGAAAAGAAGATGGGAAACAGTAAGATGAGAGGCTGTTTATCTGTATACTACCCATAGATAATATATGATAAATGATAGTATATATACATACTAAAGTCTTTAGAGGCTGCCTAGATTTAAAAATCACAAATAATTTATCAAAAATTATAAGTAATATATTCCTATATCTTTAAACAATTTTTAAAAATGTAATTGTAGCATTAAATAGTACATATATGTACTTAAGGTCAACTGTTTCTGTGTGATACAGTAGAAGTGTTTTTGGTGAGAGCTCAGCAGAAATTGCAAAGTGGCAAGATGCTGAAGACAAAAATGTTTGAAGAAAATCAATAAATAAGAACTATTAACAAGTTCCTCTAGGAATTGAGCTGCTTCTATTTAGTTATTATGTGGCTCTTGGTTGTTCATATGGAAAATTCACAGGGTTATCATCTGTGATACCTTTAATGGCCTGGCCTTACACAGTGACTACTTTATCCCAGAAGAAAAGAAACCAGAAGAAAACAAGAGGAAAACCTGAAAATAATCCCTTTCTGTACCTGCTTCTGATGATGTCAGAGATCAATGTCTGGAAAATAAAGTGCATTAGAAAAGGCTATTTCTTGCCTTTTGGCATGCATACTGAAAACTCCATTTTCAAGTAATACACATTTCTTACTATAGCTTACACTGACAAGAATAATTTCTTCTTAAAACACAAACACACACATACACAACACAAACAGACTTATTTTATTTGCCTTCAGGTTATCACTCACAAGGCTTAGGAAAAATCTCCAAGAGCAAGACGGCACTGTGGCTGTACCCCAGGGGTGGGATGGGATCTATGCTGAGCTTCCTGGGCTTTGCTGACATACAGCATGTTTGCATCATTTTTTTTTCCATTTTTTAAAATATATTTTATTGATTTTGTACAGAGAGGAAGGGAGAGAGATAGAGAGTGAGAAACATCGATGAGAGAGAGTCATCAATCAGCTGCCTCTTGCACACCCCCTACTGGGGATATGCCCACAACCAAGGTACATGCCCTTGACCTGAATTGAACCCGGGACCCTTCAGTCCCCAAGCCGATGCTCTATCCATTGAGCCAAACCGGTCCCGGCTGCTTCATTTTTAATTAACATTCAATCCAGTTCTAATATAGGTTTTTGTTATCTTATCTAAGATGACAGAGGGCCCACACCAGGAAAAACAATGGAAGGAAAAGGCGCAGTGGTGGTGCTAGTTCATTCATACTCACAACTACAGGATGGGAAGGAGCTGTTGATCTGCTCCATCACTTCGGTGAGGTCGGTGCTAGTGTCATCAGGGGGGGCCAGCAGGTCCTCCTCGGCTGGGACTGCCCACAGAAAGAACAGACATTCTGAAATTAATGTCTAGCCTTTCACCAAAACCCAACTTCAGGAGAAAATACTAGCCGTGGCCTCTATCTATCAATGTGAAAGTAATTCTGTAGAGCAAGCATGCCAAACTCAAAAGCTAACATCGGCCAAATAAATGAGGCATGCAGCCCATGGGCTGCGAGTTTGACATGCTTGCTGTAGAGAATGAGTTTTAGGGAAAAAAAATACCAAAACCACTTTGTTATTAATTTGTCAGTAATATACTTGCACACATAAATAAAGTGTACTAGATATTTCTGTGAGAAAAAATTATGCTAGTGAAAATTCATGAGTGCAAAATACAGAATGTAGTCACATTATTTCAATGTATTGTTTGAAATTTCATTATTTTGTGTTGCAAATTTTTTTTATATGAGAAAAATATTCTACCAATTTCTTTTTCACCACAAAACTAGAGATATCTCATAAGAGACTTTATACTTTCATGTATTGTATTTATTTGATAATCAATAGCAAAATAATTATTTTAAAAAATTAAAACAGTATTAATATTTTAGGTTTTCTCCTGATTGATATAACAAAATATATCTGATAAACAAATTAAATTGGTTCAAGTATGTGGTCCTCAGCAGAATTTGGAAACTTGAATTTTATCAATAATACAATGTCATTCTGAATGCCTGGTTGACAGAGTCCTAACTAGCAGAACTGACAGGTCCTCTCTGTGATCAGTGACAGGTTGGAGGGACCTCTGCTCAGATGCTGGTGATAGAGGTGGCAATGTCTGTGGATGCAGAAAGCAGAACCCTAAGATCCCAGACCTGGGCAGAGAAAACCATGTTTGGTACACTGTTCTTTAGTATTATATTCTGAATATATACAAATATGACATTTTAGAGAAAGTTTACTAAAAAAACAGAATCATTTCCAATGCAAAAACAAAACAAAACACCTCAAATTGTTGCTCATCCCGAAAGGTAAGAGTACTTTTTTTCATCTTTCACCAAAATCCAATCCACGGCTACACCCGATATATGTACACGTATTATAGCCATTATAGCTATTATTCTAAAATATATGCGCTGTTTTTATATTGTTAAAACGGCTTTGTGGAACCGTCCCAGACCAAAGAGAGAAGAAAGCACCTTTGTGCCCCGAGGCACCATGTGTAAGAATGCTGTTTCCAATGAAACACAAGCTGATGGCAGACCCAGACTGGAGCAGTGGAGTAGAGGAGCCAAGTCTTGGGGACACTGACCTGCTTGGTGGAATTGTGGGCCTGTGTCAGGACTGAGCAAGTGGCTCAGTGCAGATCGCTGAGGTGAAGCCCGGGGAGAGACGCCATTGATTCGGGAATCAGTTTCAGGCTGGAAGCACAAACAAACGTTAGGACAGAGGAAGAATTAAAATGCTATTGAGGAAACCATTTCCATTTCTAACGTCTCCCTCCCCACCATGGACAATTACACCATGTAAAGTTGTTTACCCTCAGACGTTTTCAAATACATTAGCATCAGTAGCTGCTAGAACTCAGCTGAGCACTAGGCGGTCCTTCCCTTTCAGTCTGGGCAACTTGAAGAATTCACTCGGTTATATCACAAGATTCATGTATCAGTGTCAGCTTCAACCCTCAATTGTTCTCTTATTTTTATGTCAACCAAGTGAATTTAGGAACAGTTCAATTCCTCTTGAGAAAATTAGCACTGCTTGTCATACCATAAATGGATCTCATTTCAAAACCAGCTAATTTTTTAAGTTTAAGTCAATGTTTGAACACAAATATTGAAGTGTTTTTAAGAGCATGATTCTTAATTCGGATTCTTAGATTTGAACTCAGAAGCTGTGTAATTCTGAGCCAATTTTTAACCTTTTGATTCTTTCTTTCTAAACTGGCTGTCAGGAGCTGACAGGTGTGAGGCAAACCCTTGGCAAGTGCAACCTCACACAAAGCGCTGAAATGATGACGGACATAATAACAAGCATGAGGCCCAATGAGAAAGTGTGATCCACTGTAGAGGAAAGGCAGAAGTTAAAATGTATTTGATGCTGATCTTTTCATTAAATCTAAACTAGTGGAAGCCTAGTCGCTTTGCTAGTTTTTACTTTCATAGTAGATTTTTCTATCTCCCTCTAGCATTCCTGACAGTAGGAAGAGATAAGAGTTCTATATCTGGGATATATGGAGACATTCAGACATCCACTATTTCTAAAGCATTACTGTGTGATTCTGGAAACATATGAGCCATTAGGCAGCTCTGTCTAATGGATGGAGAGAGTGAAGGGGGGCCGAAGAGGGAAGGGTGGGCAAAGAGCCTTTTGCTCTCCTAAAATCATCAACAGGCTATGGCAAATGGAAGTTTTCAGAGTACGGCTTCCTTCAGTTCATCTACTCACTAGGTTACTATTATATTACTAACACTTCATATTGTAAATATGAGCTCTCAAGAGAAAAGTAATCCCTTACAGGCACCACTCAGAAAATTCAGGTTCATAATACCAACAATGTAACTTTTCCCATGAATGTGACTGCCATAGAGGCAAAAAGCAGACATTCCAAGAGCACCAGGCCTTGGTTATTCTTGGGACTATTACTTTCCAATGATGCCCAAGTTGGAGGCTCCAAAGTAAGCTGTCCACAAAATAGTCTCACACAAATTCTGAAAACTAGCAGACATACAGAGAAACATATGGTCGAAATATAAGGGGTGCCTTAGCCAGAGTGGCTCCGTTGGTTAGGCACCATCCAATGCACCAAAAGGTTGTAAGTTCTATTCCAGTCAGGGACCATGTTGGGCTGTTGTTTGATCCCTGGTACTGGGTGTGCAGGAGGCAGCTGAATGATGTCTCACTTTCACATTGATCTCTCTCTCTCTCTCTCTCTCTCTCTCTCTCTCTCTCTCTCTCTCTCTCTTTATCTACCTCTATCTCTATCTCTCTCTCGCCTTTTCTCTTCCTCTCTTCCTAAAAAATCAATTAAAAAAAAATATATATATATGGGGTGAATTTTGGCCTGCTGTGTTGGTAATGCCAAAATTACACCATTTTAATGACTCTGACATGTTAGAAGACTGATAGTAAATGTGAAAGACAATTTTCTAGAATTTGAGACAGATCACTAGAGAGAATGTTGTTTCTGCTTTTGAATCAGCTGATCTTCTCCAGAGAAAGTAATTCCTAGTCACTGCCAAGGGATCCCTCACTGCAAAGGCCAAAGAAAAATGCAAAAGGTGACATAAATGTTGATGTCAGGGACTCAAGTGAGAGAATCCCAGGCCCATTTGTAGGGTTCTCCACAGTCTGCAGCTGCTGCACAGGCATCTTCATTACCAGTTCTGTGACCTGACTCCTATTATTTAATCCCTGCTGGATGTAGCCAAGCACTTAATTCTCTATAATATGTTGTGTCTTTACATAAGAAACCATCTTGTTATAGGTGATACCATTTAACAAGATTGCAGGCACTAAAAAGGCAGAAACTTTTATATATCAAAGACAGTGTTTTTCAAAACTGCAGGCTATTACCCATTGATGAGTCATAAAATTTATTTGGTAAGTCAACTTTTTGATCAGCACTAAGAAAGAAAGAAGAAAAATGGAATGGAGGGAGGGAAGAAGAGAGACACAGAGGAAGAGAGAAAGTAGAGGAGGAAGGAAGACAGGAGAGAGTGATAGGGGAAGGGAAAAGGAAGGAAAGAAAAAATAAGAATTTTTTAACAGCAATTGTTTTATATTCATCATAAATGAATGTATTCATCATAATGTAAATTGTATTTCTTATTGTCAAGAAATTTTGCGCTGGTCAGTTTGGTTAGTGTTGGCTCACAAATCAAAGGGTCAAGGGTTTGATTCCTGGTCAAGGGCATGCACCTGGGTTGCAAGTTTTGACCCACAGCAAATGTGAAAGGCGATTCAGTAGGGGGTGCATGTGGCAGGCAACCAATAGCTATGTCTCTCTCACACCAATTTTTTTTTCTTTCTCTCTTCCACTCTCTCTAAAAACCAGTAGAAAAAATATCCTTGGTGAGGATGCTTAAAAATTTTTAAAAAATGTTTTTGTAAGCAAGTTCCATAGAATGTGGCCCAGTGTTAGAAAATAATAGCAAATTAACAAACATCTATTGCTTAATTTCTTGAAAATAGCTTATCAGAAGAAAGGCTTTACAATAAAGAGTTCAGGTCATTTCCTTTCCCTTAACCTGCACAGATGTGTTCCCTTTTAATTTACATAGAACCATGCTATAGGAACTTTTTCCTTAAATGATTCAGAGCTGGATACATTTCAGTATTAGAGAAAAATGGGAAATCCCATCTAAAATGGGGCAAGCAAAGCACATTTTTTTTTTGCATGCCAGATGATGTATTGCTTACATTGGAAGAGGGATTTCTGAGCAAGTCTAAATTAACTACAGCACTGAGAAACTGAAACTGAACCTCTCTAGTGACACTGGGGCAAAGCCCCTGGGAGACGGGACTAGGATACGTGGCCTGCAAGGGTGACACCGAGCTCTGCAGACTCTACCTGCTCCAGCAGCTGTCGAAGTCGATGCAGCTGAGACTCTAATTGCGTATTGTGATCTTCTAAAATTTGCATCCGAGCCTCCAGCCGACCCTTGTGCTGCTGCCTGAGCAGCTTCACTTCTGTTATCAGTTCTGACTCAGATGTGTGAGTCCGGGGTGAGCTCACTGGGAGTTCCTTTCTCTGGTACTGCCCCTTTAGCTGCTCGTATTCCATCTGCAAGTTTCTAATATCAAAAAACAAAAACTGAAATTACTATTGTGCACACCCAAATTACCTATAAACTCCAAATTTAGGGGATGCTATTTATTTCCTCCTAGGTGAGAACATTTTTTAACAGTGAGATGAGCAAGCATGATTTAAATGGCAGCTTTAAGTAACTGTTCTAATAAACATCAACCCTGAACCCCAAATGCAGGTGTCACCCAAAGCCATCAGGCAAGCTTGGTGATGCCCTCTCAAACGTTGACTCCACCATGACCTCTTGGACAACAGTTTGAAAAGGGAATGGGTAGGAGCCATGTTAAAGTTACTATTAAAATTTTTCCATTACAAGTTTTCCCAGGATGACATGTTTTCTCCCAGGTCTGGCACACCTTTGTTCTTCCTCCAGCTCAGTGATGGCCCGCTCCAGTTCTGCTCGTTCTTCCCTTTCCACTGCCTTGAGAATCTGAGCTTGATTCTGGGGCTGGCTCACTGGGGACTCGCCTCCAAGGGTCTGGCAGTACTGCTGAATCAGGGTATGCTCGTCCTCCCTAGGGAGACAAATTGAACACAGGGGCTCATATCCGGACGTTGATGTCTCTGAATGTAAAGGAAGTGGAAGCAATGATGATCAGGATGGCTGCTGGGGCAAGTTTGCCTTGAAGCTCAGTGTCCCAGCAAATGGGAAAGGGGTGCTGCAATGAACCTATCCAAAATGAACTTCAGAGGGTGATTTGATCATAACTGGGTGGGTCATGGCGGAATACACCCTTCAGCCGATGACTTCTTTAATTAAAGGACCCTGTCCGTTGTTCTTGTGCATCTAGGTGAACATATTCTCTTTTCCAGACTATCCAATGCCATTACCACCCTGAAGGGAGCACATAACTTTGTTGACTATCCTGGACTTTGCTTTGTTCCACCTTCATGTAATCCTCCTCAGCCCCCTCCTTAATGCCAAGGGTTCACCAGAAACTGCAAAACCATCATTCTCTGGAGAATTTTAGATCTCGCTCCCCAGCATGTTGTCAGTTTGGCTCAAAAATTCCCTACAGTTTGGACACTCTGACACCCAACGACATGTTTCTTATGACATCCCATGACCTCACTTTAAAACTCTAGGAAGATATTTATCCAGTAGTGCTACAAATACCAACATTTCATGCTTTGCCTTAATTTACTAGTAACATGTATTTATCACAAACCCACAGGTTGAGACCTGCAGCTGTAGAGCCTAAGACTATTTTATGGTGGGGGGTCACCACACCATGAGGAGCTGTATTAAAGGGCCATGGCATTGGAAAGGCTGAGAACCACTGCTCTATGGGGAGACCCAGTCAGGTCCCCTACCAAACGTGCAAATGACAGATCTGGCTCCTGCTACCAGGGGAGTCCTGCCATGGAAGACCTCGAGCAGTTTGTACCTGGCCTGCTAGGGCTTTGGGGAAACAGATCCTGGAATGTAGGGCTTTATAGGACAGGACTTCATAAATACATCAGTGAAACACACATACAGGCAGATGAGTTAAAATTAGGTTGGAGATGCATTTTGCTGTCAACATTTACATACATTCATTTACTTTGGGAAGCTGATAAGATTTAACATATTATTATAATTATCATCACCACCACCATCATTACATTCTTTCATTAAGGTATCCTAGGAGGGAATGAAGGCAGTTTCTATAAAATAAATCATTTATATCGAACCTATAATCTTAGTCTTAAGTGTTTTTCACAGATTATTAGGCTGAAAAGTTAAATATAAAAATAGATACAGTAAAGTTCTTAGTTATATGCAGCGGAAAATAAGAGCATATCCTTTAGACACAGGTAGTACATGAGGTATCAGATTAAGATCATTAGGTGCCCAAAGTGTGCCTAATGCTAAAATAGAAAGTGTTGTAAAAATATAGGTCTGCACTAACAAAATATCATTAGATGGAATATAACTATATTCTGTTTAAGTCACGTTTAGAAAATACTATCTAGACCACAAAATGAGTACATATCAGATGACAAAAGAACTGTGACTCATCCAATGAGCTTTTGAAAGCAGGCAAGACATAAATAAAAAATAATAATCTTCCTTTAAAGGATTATTCTGTTCCATGCTTCAAACTTGCAAATAGTGATGCCAGTGCAAACCTTGCCAGCCTCCTAATATGAGCCTTCCACATAAAACTGTGTTGCTCTCGGGCAGATACCAGATGAAGTGAGACATCCGGATGGCCAGGGCCTTGAGTTTCTGCTCCTGAGATTTCTCAGAACAGTCCTGCGTCCTGGGTCTCTTTGAGACTTGGTTGCTTAATTCCTCTGTCAAAGAAAATTGGTATCCTTCACACTAACGCCCTGTAAGTTATCCAGAGCCAGACTTTCAGAGGAATAGGGAGAACTTGGATTTGGTTCTATGTGTGAGACTGACTCAGGTTTAGGCTTGGAAGGTAGCTAGCTTCCCATGATGCAGAGAGAAGCAACAACTAACCAGATGCACAAAAGATGACCACTGTGAGGCACAGGCAATAGGTTCTACAGACCGACGGAGGGACAGAGAAAAACACAAATACAAATGACTCAAGAGCCTTGGATAACTTAGAGAGAATTATAGGTTCACATCTCAAAATTCATACCCCAAAGCCTAGGGCTTTCTTTTATTAACTATGGCTGAGATGACCCAAACCAAATATAGGAGATTTGTCTGGAGATAGAGTTACAAAATCTTTTATCTATACTTCCCACTGCTATCTATATTACCTGCCTGTCTATACTTCCTGTTCTTACAAAAAGGTCCTCTAAAATATAGACAAGCTTTGTCTGTGAAGCTGGGTCATAAATGAGCAATGGGATTTGAACAAGAACAATGATAACCGCCAGGAAAACTGGATGGATCTTCAGATGCTCTGACGCCCTCCCGTCCCCATCTGGGAGCCATCTCCTCCCAAAGCAGCTAAGACAGTTCAGTGGTTAGAGGTAGTCAAGGCAGGGGTGCCTATGCCTGGAGCCAGACTGCCTGGGTCTGACTCCCAGCTCTACCACTCACTGACTGTGAGATCCTGGGCAAGCTCCTTAACATCTCAGGGCCTCAATTTATTCATCTGTAAAATGGTGGTAACAAGAACAAGAGTGTCATCTCAAAGGGTTCTGTGAGGATTAAATAACCAAAGACGGTCAAAATGCTTAGGACAGTGCCTGGCTCTTAGTATGTCCTATTAAGGAGGAAGAGGTGGTTGTTTTTGCATCATCACCATTATTACTTAAGAGAAACCTAACAGTATTTTTATGACGCAGCTTGGAATGACAAAACTCCTAACTCAAGAGGGCTTTGGGAAAGGTGAAGGATTTGAGAAAGAGAACAATTCTAAAAAGCATTTATATATATATAACTCATACCATTTTTTACTCAAGGCACTTTGAGATAGTTTTTCATCTTTCCCAAGAAGAACAATAAAAAATTGCTCATAGTTTGACATTGGTTGCCTCAAGACAGACCCAAGCATGAAGCAGAAGAGCTAATGCTTCCCTGAGAAGCACTGCCCCTTCCTTGTTCAGAAACTGGTGAGACTGTTCAGTGGTACTAAAAACTGCCATCTACTGTCTCTTGGGATTATATCATGACCCTACAAATGCTGAAGCTTTAAGACATTTCCAGGGGAAGGCCAGAGTGTTAGAGTATATTGTTTACTTCCTGCTATTACAAAAATGTCCTGGGAGACACATAAACTTTGATCCAAGCTAAAAGCAAAGAAAGACTAGCACAGCATCTTGTCAAAAGTAGCTAACACTTCTTCCTACATCCTATGACACAAGATGCTAGATTATTGATGGGAAACAAGCTGGAGAGCCAGAGAAATAGTGACGCTTAGTTCCTAAACCTTCCTCCAAAAATCCTGAGACACACCATCAGTCCAAAAAGGGTAAGAACCATCCTCATTGTAAGTCTTTATCCATTGAGAGAAAAGGTATTTATTGTAGTAACACTTGTCAAGTCAACAGTACTAATTAAAATGGAAATACTTAAATAAGTAAATATACATTTGAAGAAGAAAGGGTGACCACTGGTAAGTCAGATCACTGGGTGTTAGGTACAAAGTAGGGCTTATTGATCCAGAGCCCTTTTTAGTATTGTCACCTGAATGGCTGCACTCTCATATGTCCACAGCAAAAGAACCCTAGTTTACTCAGTAATTCAAATTGTGGAAGAGCAAAGGCCTTCTAAAACCAGCTTTATCAAAATAAGATGTATTGACATATGCATTAAGAATGCACCAGTGACTGAGAAACGATTTCTCTTTAGTGGTTTATATCGTTTTGCGCTATTAACTTAATCTTACCTATCAGGAAGAATTTGTCCCCTCGCTTTTTCAGTGCCAAGAGGAAGCCAGCAGAGTTAAAATCTGCAAATCTCTCTATAGCTCTGTTTTGCTTTCATGATTATATCTCCTTCTCGAACTCTGACTTTCCTTCCTCTGATAAGGACCTTTGTGATTACATTGGGTCCACCCAAATAATCTAAAATAATCTCCTCATTTTAAGATCCTTAACTTAATCACATATGCAAAGTTTTTTTTGCCATATAAAGTGACATATTCAGAGAATTTGGGGATTAGGATGTGGGCTTCTTTTGGGGGACATTATTCTCTCTACCACAAACGCCCTCACCATGCTCTTCCCCTATAGGAACCCTTATCTGCCTTCTGTCTAGCATGTAAGATTTATGAAGACACCCTATCTATGTCTGCAGACCTTTACAGCCCTGGGTACATGGCAGTGGTGTGCTGGTAACTGTCTAACATCAGGTTTTCTAAAGGAAAAAGAAAAAGACCTGGGATTTTCAATTTTTATGATTTAAATACTTTCATCACTGCCAATTTAAGCTAATGACTTCCCTGAGTGGGAAGCTGGGAAAAGATTTAGAGATATATACCATCTGACAAATACAAAAAACTACCCCAACAACATACATTTGTAACAAAATAAAATAAGTAGGGCATGGTGAGTATTACCTCTGTTTCTATTTTAATCCTATCTATTTAGTTGTAAGAGTATCTTAATAATAAAAGGGTAATATGCTAATTAGACTGGATGTCCTTCCAGACATCATTCCAGATGAAGCCTGGGTCTTGGGTGCCAGAGGGAAGCCAGTGCTGGCAGCCAGAGGAAAGAAAGCCTACTCTTGCACAAATTTTGTGCATCAGGCCTCATGTATACAATAATTTTATAAAATAATGGCTCTCTTTGACAAACAGTTTTAAAGTTCTTAAAAATTAACAACTTGCTCTCACAGTGGGTTCCAGCACACCAGTGCACAGTAGGTATATAATAAGTATTTGTTGGATGGATGAATGAGTTGATACATCTATTGTTAGTACATTGAATTGTATTCCGCTGTTAATTGCTTAGTTATTTTTTCTTTCCTCAGCTAGTGCTAAATTTAAAAATAAATAGTGTTGATTTTAATTTGCAGATAGGATATACAAAATTTGAGCATTATCTTTATTGTGTTCACAGGATGTGACAAACACATTTTAAAGAATTTAAATTTGGTTTGAATTCTTTAAGTATTGTCAACTTTGGTAGAAATTGTTGATTTAGGAGATATTCAATATATTTAACTATTTAATATAAAATACATACTACTAAGTTAAATATGAAATAAGCATTATGAATATGGTGTTATCTTGTTTGGGAATTGTTGTAAACTCTAAGTATATGAATAATAATGTATAAATAAATCAATGCTGTATTACTGTAAAGTATTAACATGTTAACCTTTGGAATGTAAAATTGAAAAATTTACTGAGAACTTTTATTTATCAGCTTAATGATAGTAAAACTAGTTTTTAAATATTAATAGGGAAACTTTCTATATTAAAGTACCTAAGGTAGTTCAACTTAGCTCTCTCTATGGTTCTTCTTAGAATAAAACATCTAAGTACTATGTTCTACAATGTTCTTTACAGCTTCCCATTAGATCCAAAAGGCAATGAACCTGAGTAAGTCAGGTAAACTTAATACTACGAAATCCTTTAGACATCATTCAGAATTAAAAAGGTCAAATGCACAATGGCAAATAACAATGTCAAATAAAATATCTGCCTAGAAAGGTTTATAAGAAGTATTCTCAAGTCAACCAGCCTTTTCTTAGTGTGCTAATCAATTATTGGCAGAAGAGGTAACACTTTTCAATGAATGGTGGGGAGTATATGACCAAGGGCATGTGGGTCATAGCTGTTAAATGGCAGGGATTATGGAGGAAATGTGAGCAGAAGGATGGGCACAGATTCTGTGAAATTACACTTGTTAACAAGAAATATCATACAAGTAGAATGACTATCTGCACCTGCATTAATTAATAAAACAATCTGTTTTCCCTGAGGAAGATTAGTTGCCAAATGCAGGATTTTTTTTCAATAGGAATTCATTAATTTATACTAAAATAAATAAATAAATAAATATATCCAATTTATACCACCATGGCTTGAAAGTATAAAATTTATGTAGACATATTTGTAACCACACATCAATTCTGATTTGGATCAAAATCCAGAGCCTGGACCAGTGAAGATGATTTCCGACAGCCATAATACAAGAACTAGCCTACCCGGGTAGTACTGATTTCATGATTTACTTACCCACTTCCTGTGGTAGAGCTGCTATCAGTAGGTAAAGACCCATTGCTCCTTTGGGCCGGTCTGAAAAATGAAAATAAGGAGGTTAGGCAAAGTGACCACATCATGGAGCATAGTCAACTGGAGGTATAACCCCAATCATTTTAAAACTGTGATAAAGTCAAAATACAGGAAGGTCCAAATACCCTAATAAGATTGTGACATTAAAACAACTAACACTGAGTTACATTTCTATCACCACTGTCTTAAGGCCTATGGGCCTTAATCTTACACCATGTTCTACAGTCTGCTAATTGACTTAGCCTCCTACTTTTCCTCCCAGACCCTCAAGTCCATCTTCATTCTCACACAAATCTGTGATCCGTTCATGTTTCAAGATTCTCCATGACTCCTCTTTACATAACACATCATCTAACTCCCTTAGCAAATGGGCCCTACATTATTGGACCCCAGCTTCTGTCATCTACTCTTCATTCTTGACCCTTTCTCTACCTGAAGTTCTTCAAACAAGCCATATTCTTTCCCAGCTCAATGCTTTTGAGAATGTTTTTCTGTTAGTCCAATTCTGGCTTTTCCCAGAAATTCTATTAGGCTAAGACCCAGTTCAAATGTTACTATTGTTATGATGCTTGACTTAATCTTTTTAGGCATTGCTAGTTACTAGCACTGGAGATACCTAGTATACCTGTTTTTTGAAAGTTTCTGCATACCATCAACACCAGTCTATTCTTTATATTTTGGGGGGAATTTAAAATAAGCCCCTGGAATAAAACATTAGCATATGTTAATTATATATTGTAACTCAGTGCACCATCTCATGAGAACACTTTCAACCCCCATGTTCATTCAACAACACTGAATTACATTGACTAAATCCTGCTTGGGTTCTCATGAGCTCAATAATCATATGCAACTGAGTTACTTTATATAGAATGTGTAGCAGGTATTTGGTAAAGTGTAAATTACAACATGGAAGATGAGAGCCCCATGGCTCCTACAAAATAACATTCCTTAAGTCAAGGCACATTAAAGGTATGGGATTAATACAGACATAGATCCATTCTGGGAGGCAATGCAGCAGAGGGCTGCTATCAAGTTTCTTACCGTGTGGCATGCTCCTCTATCCTGGAATCCTTATTATCATGAAATAGCTGAGGAGACCATGAAGGGCTATAAAGGAAGATGAAAATAAACAGTTTTATACCCACATATTGATAGATGTCCCTGGTTAGAAATGTTAGCTTGATTAAATAATGAATTTGCCATGCAAAGAAACCACTAGGATTGTTACCCGGGAGGCAGAACTATTATTTTAGAATGAGAGTTTAGTAATCACCCCCATGCTAACAAAACTGATCAGAACATCCTCCTCCACAGATGGGGCCGTAAAATACTCACTCATAATTCTCTGGCCATATACTGATGAGTGTGACAGGACTGCAGAGAAGGGAGAGGGAAACAAAAGTAACAGAACAAACACTTTAAAGCAAGCTAAGACAAAAGCCATGGAGGTGGGGGTGGGGAACATTCTCAATTGTCTTCGGGAGATCAAGACACAAAATTCACTGTCTATTCTAGAGAAGCTGCTAATATTTAAGAGCCTGTGGGGCCTTTTCACAGACATTTACAGGTATTTGTTACAGGACAGCAAACACATCTTTAAATATTCTCATTGAGGGGAAAAAGACAGGATGCTCCAAAATAGCTCAAAATTTTAAACAAATTTTAAAGATAATATCCCATAATATACTGAAGAAAGGTGCAATCACATTTTTGTTTACCCTTCTGACCAAGTTGAACAGAATGGGAAAGTTAAATCCCAAAGACGTTATTATATGTATTGATGGCAGAGTTGCAATAAAACTTTTCTGATTCAGTGTACAATTTTAAATATAAACATTCAAATCCAAGCATACACCAGGTCTCTGAATCTCACAGATACATTTAAAAAAGATGTAAAGCAGGTATCTATGTAATGCAGATATCCCCCTCATATCCCACCAAAAATTTCACATTGTCAGTAAAATGAAAAATAATTTTTAGATCTTTATGTACTTCATATAAAATTTTATCCAGAAGTTCAATCTATAAAACCGATAAACAAACTTGTTCTGCTTGAAGCAGGGCTTGAGTCTGGAGTGAGATCACTCAGTATTACTCCTGGCCTTAGGGGTTCCCTCCAACCTCACAGGGCTGCCTAGAAATCCCCTAGTCTCCATGAACGACGTTTTGAAAACAACTGATGCTAATTAAAACCTAGCTCAAACCCTAATTTTTTTAATGTTAATTTTAATTTTTGTGAGAGAGGGGAGGTAGTACTGTAAATGTGGATATTTAAAAATCTAAAATAAATAAAATCACTTCTCTATTAATTAAATAAAGTCTCCTAGAAAAGCCAGTGTTGACTGAAACAAAGAAGGGAGAATTATTTCAGTTCTACTTTATTCTCCTGTACCTATCATACATACATGCTTAAGAAAAAGTTAATGATCATAACTCCTTCTGGGAAGCACAAGTTGATGTCTAAATAGCAAAGACTAAAAAGGGATGGGAGGTCATCTTATTGGGATAAAAACTAAGACTCTTTGGACCTACTTTCAAAAACATGCATTTATCCAGGCTGTATTTGTCATTTGATCTCTATCGTAAGTAGACTTAATTATCCATGCATAAAACAGATACAAGAACAATGAAACAATACTGTACTATTCAATAGCTTTTTTACATCACTATTTCATTAACTCAGAACTAGGGATGTTAAATGTCAGGTGAATGGATTGCTCTGCATGCTCCAAAAAGCTGTAACTGCTTGAGAGATCACTTCTAGAGTTCAAGGGCATCACAACATTTACTGTGAGCTTAAACTCAGAATAATACATATTTTTTAAAAGTCTTAATTGAACTTGGAAAGGCTTTGTAAAACTGCTTGGCTGGTTCTTCTGAAGTTAATTCAGTGTGCACAAAAGTGGTTCATTGAACTAAGATAAGAATGGCAGAGGCATAGAGCAGAACTGAAGAGTTTCTCAAAAGAAAGTGTGGTTTTGTTTTTTTTAATATCTTGAGAGATTTTCTAAGAAAAGAGGTAAAGATTAAAAAAAAATGAAACTTAGTGCTTCATTGACTTCAAAGTATTTTGATTGGTAGAAACAACACATAACTCATTTTATTTCTCATTTAACTCTGGAAGAGGGGGAAATGGCAATATTCTCAGTGTGTAGTTAGAATCTATGTTAAAGGGGGTTAAAAGTAAGATGGATCCGTGCGTTAGCCTAGATTTAATAAAGCCCTCCTGCTTCCAGAGCAGTGGCTGAACAGATTGGTCTGATTAATCACACACTAATATGCAAGAAATCCGACTCTACTAAATACACTTACCAATATATGAAATAGAACCCAGATTTTCTTTGAGGAACTTTGTGGCTCTTTTAGTGCATTTAATTCTGAACAGATTACTTCTGCTTTGAGTCTTTTGCCTTTTTAAATCCATTGGTCACAGAGCAGGTAAGTGGGGTCCCCTCCTTCTCTAACATACAAACCTTCAATGGTTCCTGACTGCTCACAGGATAAACTCCAAAAACCCTGGCATGGCTTATAAGGCCCTTCATTTCTGGTTCCTGCTTCTTTTTCCTCTCTCATTTCTTGCCACGATTCCCGGCTTCCCATCCCATTTTCAAAAAACAATCTGGACTCTGGGCCTTTGAAAATGTTTCCCTTGCCTGGAAACTCTCCCTTTCTAACTCCCACACCAAACACTGAATGTTTGGCCCTTTCATCACTCAGGTCTCAGTTTAGCTGTCACTTCCGCCAAGGCCAGTGCTCCCACAACCATAATTAACACTTACTATGACTTGGTTCTTGCAATAGTAAGAATCTATTGTAATAACCCATGCAGTTTGT